TGCTTCTAAATAAAATGTCTCCAAAAAGAGTAACTTTATCTAATTCTCAAAAATATGAATTTTGTTTATTCTAGTCAGATATATTAGTTTGAAAACAATAAATACAATGAGGCAAACTACAATATAATCTTATCTTAATCAATGATCGAATAAAAATTTTTTTAGTGATAATAATGTAATAATTAATTAATTTTTATTCTTTATTGGAGTCACGTGTAACAAATGAAATGCTTTGTTTCTCTAAGTGCACGCTATCACTCATTCCCAAGGGGGGTGAACTTAGAGGGGGCTGACTGTATGTTTTTTCTTTTTTGATGGCTTCTATTATCTTATTCGTGGTCCTTGACTAAATTTTGATTTGTGGTGCTACTTCCTCGGAAGAGTTCCTTTGTTTAGTGTTCCTAACCGAAAATCAAATTTTTTTACGAATATTCGAAAATCAATTTATTCAAGGATATTTGAATATATTAATATATAATTTATTTCGTAATTATTTCGGATATTCGTAATTATTTGGATACTATATATTCTGGTTGAATAATCTTTTAACTAGATTGCTTGATGCGTCATATTAAGTTTTTTTTTTCTTTAAATTTAGAAAAATGGGTATGTTGATCATTCCGAATTCAAGCAGGAAGAAATTTTATCACCTACTGTTCCTCTTTTTATTAAGTAAACATGCTCCAATATTTTTACAATTATAATCCCTCGTGATATAAATATATATTATGCAAAAAACTCGATTTTGGTCAGGAGGCCCTGTGACTGTTTTTTTGTTGGAAAACCCCCCATATGTTCGTTAAACTTTTTTATTATAAAGAACTTTATTATATTCTATGGAAACCATATTTTGTTACACGAAATTTACTTGGTCTCAATTTCTTAAACGTATAACAAAATTTGGAATTTTCAAAATGTTAAGGTTCTGTCAATTTTTTAGTTTAAGAAAGAACTAGCCGATAAGTTTTGAAGCTTGGGTCATGAACAATAAAACTTATCGGTTAATTTTTTTGAAATGATATAAAAATTTTTCGTTTTAGTATTTTGAAGCTGAACAATTGTTACTATAAGCGATTAATTGATTATAGATGATCTGCACCGTTATGTATTGTTGGTATTTTAAATAGTATTATACAATATTATACAAGTATGCGAACAATATACAGAAACAAAAAATTATTATATATTAACTAAAATAAAAATAAATAAATAAAAAATGTTTTAAAATTAAATCTTATATTGATTCATTAGTTTTATCTGTCACGCACTATCTTTAACATCATCACTATCCCCTTGATTAATTATAGCATTATTACTAGTAATATTGACAGAAGGTTCTTTTGTTTCACCTTCATTTACTATCCCTTCTTGATCCTCCTGATTAATTATAGCATCATTACTAGTAATATTGACAGAAGGTTTTTTTATTTCACCTTCATTTACTATCCCTTGATCTTCCTGATTAATTATAACATTATTACTAGTAATATTAACAGGATGTTCTTTTATTTCGCCTTCATTTACTACTAAACCATCGTATTCTTTGGTAAGTCTTCTATCTGTCACAATTTTTCCCCACTCGTCAAATGATGATCCTTTATTAACTGATGGATTTTGATTTTCTTCTTTAGGAGTAATTTTAACATCATTATTATTATCAAATGATTCAACTATTGTTGCATTGTTTGAAGACTCACTAGACGATGTCTGAAATGATTGGATATTTTTATTAGGAACATATGCATTTCTAGAATATCGTGTTATATTTTTGAGTGATTTGGAACTGACTGATGGCCTTCTACCTTCAATTACTCTCACTATTTCCGCATCAATAGTTATTGCATATGACAATCCTATTAGAAGTAATACCTGCGTATTGTTTATATAAAGGGCCAACTCTTTGTCGTTGCTTCTATAGATTCCAGATATTGTCCAACCTACGAACATTGCACTTTGACTAATTGCAAGAAATAATCTTAAAAAGTTC